CCTAAACCTTAAAACTGAACCCTAAACCCCTTGAACCCTAAATCCAAAACCCTAAACCTTAAACCCTAAACCCTGAAACCCAACCCAGGGCTGCCTTGGGAGATCGGCCTGGCGGAGACGTGTCTTGGCATGTGCGAGTTGCTTTGAGGGCACGGGGTTTGAGGTTGAAGGTTTTGGGGTTTAAGGTTTAGGGTTTACGGTCGACGGTTTAGGGCTGAGGGGTTTAGGTCCCTTTTAAGAGGATATAGAAATATATGGGGATGAGGGTGGAGGGCTGGGCGCAAGGCTTTTGGATTTACACGTCCGGGGGCCTGAGGTACAGGAATTTTGGGGCTCAGGGTTTAGGATCTAGGGGTGGTTTAGGAATTGTGGTGTGGAGGGTTTAGGGTTTAGGCGAGGTTTAAGAAATTTGGGGTTAAGGGTTAGGGTTTAGGCGAGGTTGAGGAAATTTGCCGTTTTGATTTTACGGGAGTTTTAGGAAGTTTGGGCCATACGGCTCAGGGTCTAGGAGCTAGTTGAAGACTGTAGTGAGATTAATTTGCGGAACTCTGATGTAGGGCCTTGGCTATTTTCTTTGATACTTAGCAATGAGCCGCTCGGTTTTGACTTACACTGAGGTCAGGAACGATTTTGTAGGCAAAGGGTCAGGGTGGCTAGGGCGTAGGTTCAGATAGGGACTAGATGTGTTGGCTGCTACCCAAAGGCAGGTTTCTGGGAATACGCGAGAAACTGGGAGTCAGAGACTACGGCCCGCATTGAGAAAGACAGAGGCCAATGAGACTTTTCCGTGTGTACTTCCAAGGCCAGGGCGAGTGTAGGGCCCGACCTACGTAAAGCGTACTACCTCTCCCTTAATAGGGCCGGATTATATAGGGATTATGGGGTAGATATTGGGGCTGTATTGGGATAATGGAAAAGAAAATGGAAGCTACGATAGTGTATTAGTGTTATTTAGGGTTTATATTAAGGCAGTTAAAGACTGTGAGGCGGACTCGTTGGGAAGAACGAGTTTGGGCAACCCGAGGCTTCGAGAAATCACGTCATTTGATGAACACGGTTTAGGGTTTAGGGTTTAGGGTTCAGGGTTTAGGGTTCAGGGTTTAGGGTTTAGGGTTGAGGGCCCAAGGGGGTTTAGGCTGCCTACTAGAAGTGGACCCCTTGCTGAAGGTGGAGGCTTTTTCCACAGCTGAGTTCTAATTCAATGTCAAGAGAAGGGAGTCAACATCCCCGTATTTGATGCTACTAGTCATTGCGTTGGCATCGTGATCATCGCCGACATGTTATTTTTGATGTTTCCGGCCTGAGTTTGCAAGCTTTCGACATCCAATCCCCTCAAATCCCTAGACCCCATAAGCTTATCATAAGACCCTCTCTAGGCAAGTATGCATGCCCGTCTTTTGTTTTGCAGGAACTTTGCAAGTTGAGAGTCCAAGTATACATCTTGTGAAACTCCCACAGCATTGTTCGTTTGCACAGCCTCCATGTCAGCTTATCAGCGAGCAAGCATAAAGCTGGGCATCAGTGCCTGCAGCCCTAACCCTGGCCCTAAACCGCCTAAACACTAAACCCTAAATTCCAAACCCAAAAGCCCAAAGCTTGAAACCATAAGACCCAAAGCCTGGGGGGTAGATTCAGGGCTTAATGTCTAGGATATTTCGGGCTTGTGGTATTTTGGGTTTCTTTGAGATTTGGGGATTTTAGGTTCTAGGGCATTTTGGATTTAGGGTTAACTTACCCCAAGTCATACAGCTTAGGCTATGTGCCACCCCTGAACCCGTTGCCCCCCTGAAGCTCTCAGGCATCAGACGTTGGTCCTCAACGGCCTTCGCATCCTGGCATTGCTGAGCAAGAGCGTAGCGTTTACTGGATTGCTGTTAAGGAGCTTAAATTAAGCTGTAATGACGAGGAAGCCCTATTTTCTGCGCTATACCCATGTTATGCCAACTTAATCAACTTCCCTAACAGCAACCCACTTCAGGATTGGGGATTTCGGGGGATTGGGGTTCTGTTCTACCGGCGGAGTGATAGGGATTATTCTTGTGGTGTGTGTGTGTGTGGTTTCTTCACATAGGGGTTGGTTCTCTTCGGTTCTATTGGGAACAGCTACCCAAGTTCCCCAATACTCCTGAATGAATGAGGGCTATCTACCTTAAAGCGTATCAGGGTTCTGAGCACAATCTACAGGGTATATAGTAATTTGCACACCTCCAAACCAATAAGATGGAACAAGCCACAAGAAGCTTGAATAAGCTTCTTGATCTGGGTTGCAACCATCCCTGACAAACGTTGTGGGGGCACACATAATGCAGGGGAGTGACACACATTCGTTGTTGGGGTCCAACGGGTGTGGACGGTATCCAGTAAAACAGCAAGCTCCTTGGGTGACCCGACCACCATCTCTCTAGGATTTAGGGTTTGGGGTTTATAGTCACCCTTCAGTAGATAGAATATGAATTATATGGGGATCTTCTTTCAATATACACAAAGCCATATTCTATCTGCCTAAGGGGGCTATAGGGTTTAGGGCGGTGTGGCGCGGGTTCAGGGTTCAGGGCTATGCTGCCCTGAGGCAACCGAGTGACACTGCAGACGGACGGCCAGGCGCTGGTAAATTCACAATTGCTTCCTGGAGTTTGGGCGAGTGTAACCCAATTATAAGTATTCTACACGGTCTGGGTAGAGGTTGTTTGAGGTGATACACACGTAAGTTTACAATTACTACACCTAGGCCTCTCAAGCGGACGAGTTCTGGTTTGAATCTTCAAAAATTCAAGGATGAAGCACTGATCTGTTGAGGTAGATGTTTTGCGTGGCTTACGTGTTTAGCTTCACTAAGAGGGTTGCGGCGTCTGGTTCCTTGTGACAGTGCATGGTAGTTTTGAAGAACTAAGTGGCCCCTGAAGCCAAACTGTAGTCCCCAAACCCCAAACGTAGCTGTCGCTTCCGATGTGGTCCCCGGAGGGCTCGTGCAAGGAAGAAGTAGGGCTTAGCAGACGTCTTGAATCACTCTGCAAGCCTGGAAACCGGAGCCCCAAACCTCACAAACCGTACCAACTCTTGAACCCCAAACTGGGTCCTATCTGGAAACCTTGATAGAACCTAAGTCTCAACCCCCCAAAAAGCCTCAGCCCTTTGAGAAGCGCTGCCAGGTGCGCACGGGCCGCGATGTGGTGATTGCTGCCATGCTCGGGGCCGAGGCAAGCAATAGCAATGGTGGAGACAAATTGCAAGTACGAGTAGCACTAATGAGCCTTCATTTCAATGTTTATCGGCCACCCCCATCCCTAACATTAACAAATGTTCACCATAAGAGACCCCGTATGTAGGGACATATTTAATGTTAGGATGTGCGGTGGCGTTTCATATGGGTGGTTGTCAAAATTATGGTCCCTGTTTGGATCCCCATTATAATACGGCACCTGATACTTAGGGTACCCCAAAAAGGACCATAATGTTGACAACCGCCCATATAACCCTAAACCCTGAATAGTAGTTTCCATCTTCTTTTCTACTATCCCAATATTACCCCAATATTGCCACCCAACTAGCTATATCAATATGTTAGGTGGGCCCCCCATCCAGTAACAGTGGCTATAAGGGATAGTAAGGGTTATATTAGGGTCCTCTCATCTTCTTATTATACCACTATTACAGGGTGGGGGGTCCTCCTAATCAATATGCAGCGATTCAATGGATGGAGGTAGTTTTTAAAGCATCTCTTGCCTGCGGAGCCTGACGGCTCTAGAGTGGAGGGTTTCAGGGTTTTGGCGGTTTTTAGGGGTGTAAGGTTTTGGGATTTAGGGGTTTGGAAGTTTATGCAAGCAGTCTGCGGACAATCCATGCGAGATGCACGCAAAGATTCTTACAGAAGACTAGAGAGTTAATTACGAATTCGCGCGTTTGGC